TATATATATATATATATATGAATGTGTTGCATAAGTGATTCATTTCTTCTATTGATTTATTACTTCTATTTAAAAGCTAAATGCAGCATGTTTTTTTTTTAAATTCCAGTTGAACTTTATTATATTATCTGCTTAATCGTACCCTGGTTAAGTCAAACCGCTAACTTGTATATTTTTTTAGGGTCCATTTGACAAAAATCTATGCTTAACTAGAACTTTGAATTGCATAAAAGTCCAAAAAATCAAAAATCAAATATCAAAACTTGTAACACTTTAATGAAAATTGCAAACTTAAATGTTAAAAAATTAAATATCTAGCATAATATTTGTAAATATTGTAAATGATAATATTATAAATAAATATCTAGCGTAAAAATGTTTTAGTGTAATAATATTTATAGCGTAATAATATTTATAAATATATTATAAATAATAATATTATAAATATTATAAATAAATATCTAACGTAAAAAGTTTATCAAGCTAAAACTTTACTTGAAGCTTCGATTTCGTACAAGCTCGATCACATTCAATTAATTAATGGGTATTATATTTAAAATTCAAAAACATCAAAATGTTGGAATATCAAATATTATTTTGTCAAATATAAGTTAATATAAAACTAAATAATTTCACTGGTATCTTTGAATCAGTTAGGCTTATATCAAATACTTTTTATTAAAAAAGCTCAATGCAACTTAAAATTAAAAAAAAAAGTTTCAACAAACAATACCTATGCCAAATATGTATAACTTTGATTTGAAACTTTTGGAAGCATACTCACAAACAACAAAAGAAAAAATGTTATGTCAATGCATTTCTTAAAATGTATGTCAGTATATAAGTTATTTATATTTTATATTTGTATAAGTATCTACAGTGTTACAAAAATATAATGGGACAAAAATAAAATAATGCTGCCTAGTTAGTAATAATGGTGTATTGTCTGCTCCTATTCTAAATAACAGTACTCTTTTGTTTTTATATGAATTGTTTGACACAGACAAACAAATGTTGCACAATTTAGATGACGAGACTCATTTGTATATTTTGAATCATTAAAATTTGATGTGTTTGATTTTTTTGTTAATTTATGCAGAAAAATGGGACAAATTGTTTTTCATTAAAAATATCTTATTTATAATTTATAATTTGTTTTGTAAGATTCTAATAATTTTCTGAAGGTAAAACACTTTTTTTCTCGAAAAAATTATTTTATTAAATATTTAGGAACAAATTCTATATTTTAGCTAGAATTTGTTCCTAAATCGTGGCTCCAGCAAAACAATATTTGAATGAGAATCAACGAAAATTAATTTTAGATTTATTTTAACAAAAAAAAACTTACAGAACTATTGAAAAAGAGACTGGAGTTCCATGTTCCACCATTTCAAACATTGTAAAAAAGTTTGAAAGTCACCAAACTGTAAAGACTACTGTCAAAGAAGATCACTTGATTGTAAGATTATTTAAGAAAAGTAGATTTGAGTCATCCAGAAAAGTTGCAGAATTTATTGAAAAAAACACTGTAACTAAAATTAACTGATAAAACAATCCGAAATCAATTACATGAAAATGGTTTTAAAAGCTACACACCACGTAAAAAACCTTTTTTGACACAGCAACATAAGAAAAAACAGTTATTATTTGCTAAAACTCATGTTAATAAGCCAATTTAATTTTGGAAGAAAATACTGTGGTCAGATGAATCCAAATTTAATTTGGCACATTCTGATGGTAAATAAAATGTTTGGTGAAAAACTGGTGAATCTTACCGTTTGCATGCAAGGAACCGTAAAACATGGAGGTGGTAATATTATGGTATGGGGTTGTATGTCATGGAATGGTGTTGGAAATCTTGAATTTATTAAAGATTCAATGAACTAGGATGTGTACATTGATATTTTGAATATTAATTTGACTTCATCATCAAAAAATTGATATGTTCATTTATTATCAAATATGATTTTTGAAAAATCTAAAAATACTCTCAAATGCATTTTTTTAATAGAAATTATTCTAACAACTATTTTAAAAAAATCATTTATTAAATAAAAAGTTATTTTTTTATGTACAAACTGGCAATTCTGATTGAAATTTGTCCCTTAAAATGGTTGTCCCATTATATTTTTCCAATGCTGTATACACTTACACTAATATATTATATTAGTATGTCTATTATATATTTATTCAGTATATAATCAAGTATTCAAAATATTATTCACTTAATATTTAAATGGCACTTTCAGTTTATATTAGAGAGCAGTTTTCTATTTTGTACAAACAATGAATGAAAAATTATGAAGTCATTACTGCTAACATATAGAATGGAATGTTTACTATTTTCATAAAGCTTAGTCCCAATGAGAATGGAAAATTTAAATTAAAGAATTAAAACTTGATGCAATTTTGAAAAATCAAAAATTTTAATCCACAATATTTTGAGATTTTTCTTCTTTATTGTTTTTAATTTTTCACACGTTTTTTGTAAATAAAAGATTAAATTAAATAAAAAAAAAAATTATTTATTTTAAATTAAGTTAAAAGGGTTTTTGTTATTTAAAATGTCTGTAATAAAGCATGTTAATTCATCTCCAAAAAGGAAACTAAGTTATGTAGTCATCTTTTAGTAAATGGCGATATTTCATTGTTTTTATTTAATATCAAAGATGCAGTAACATTTTTTTCTGGTAGATAGAATAATACATACAAAATTGTTATTTATAAGGTTTTATTATTTATAAGGTTTTAAAAGAAATGTCAAAACAACTTTTTGTTTTTGATTCCTTTTATTTTAATTTCATCATGTTTATACATTTCTTTATTAGTAAATAAATTTTGCGATCTAAATTGAGAAAAATTCACTATTTTGTATCAATGGATAACAGTTTACAATCATTAGGTTATTGCATATTAATTATAATTAGTTTGCACGCAATTTGCAAATGCGTAAAAAATTGTTTAGAAAAAATAAAATTTGATTAACTACAAGAAACATCTTTGATAATAACTTATTAACTAGAATAAACATTTTAAAATAAAACTCCTTTAATTTACATATATATCTTAAATTAGACGTTTATCAATAAAAAAAGATACAAATGTCAACATTCGTTAAAAAAAACGATTTGTCACACCCTTTTAGGGTGTTTTTAAAAACAGCATTTTTTAATAATATCTGCAGCATGCATTTTTTAAATGCATGTCAATAACACTAGATTTAAAAATTTTTGACATAAAAAACATTTTTAAGGGTGCTTCAATACCCTGTCTTAATAAGTCTTGGAAAGGATGGGTGGGAAATTTTTCAAAAAAATAATGAACACCCACTTTTACGTATTAAACCTAAAACAGGTTTTCACAGGAAGGCGTGTGATTTCACGTCTTTATATGACCACGCAAGTTACATTTTGCTATGAGGGTTTGACCGCGTTTAATTCAAAAAACATTTTAAAAACGTGCTAAATAAAAAATATTCTAAGAAAGTGAAATTAATTACATCAAAACTTCCTAACTAATGTTTTTATATTAGCGAAACAATTTTAAATAAAATAACAATTCACTGAAAAAAGGTTTTATTTTTTAAATATAATTGACAGTTGTATATATTTTTTTAATTTAAAACATATAAATTGTTTGTGTTCATTTCTAATATAAACGTTATTAAAAAATAAATAATTGTATTGTTTTTATAAACGATGACATTCTATGACTATGAAAGTCTCTTTAACGAAATTAAGTATAAGAATGATTAAAGTTTATGCATTTAAAAAGATAAACAAAATTTCGTTAAAAAAAAAGTTTTAAAAAGCTGTTACAATTTAATAAGTTTGATCTTAAAGGCTTTTATATTATCGAAACACTTTTAATGAAGTAAAAAAATTACCTCTAATTAATTTAAAAAAAAGTATTAAAATGTTTTTTTATTTTATTTATGTAACAATGTATTTTTTATGAGAAATGTTTAATTAACTTTTGAACATATTAAATAAATAAAAAATATATACAAATGTTGAAAGAAAGATTGAAATGGTTTTTTAATGTGTAAATTAAATAGACTAAGCATTTTAGTTTGATGAGTTTAGTTTTAGTTGCGTTATATATATATATTTATTTTTTTGTGTTTTAGCTTTAACTATATTTTTATTTTTATTTTCTCTTTCGTTAAGATTTTTTTTTCAGATAAGTTTAGGTAAGTTTTTGTAGCGCGTTTTTAAATTTTGAAAATATGCCGTGGTCAAATTGTTAAAACATATTGTTTTTTGCATGGTCATATAAAGACGTGAAATCGCATGCCTTCCTGTGAAAAAAAATATATATATATTTTTTTAATATTTTAATAAATTTAAATAATTTTGATCAAACTTTTTTTTCTGTTCAAGACTCTTTATTTCTTTGTAACTAAACTATTCAGAACAAATTCTGAAAAAAGTCGAGCTAGATTAGCAGTTTTGTAATTAAACTCACCCCAGTAAAATTTTTTTAATGTTTTACAGTTGTTTTTTTTAGGTTCCTTGCTTCATAATTTGTAAGTGCACATATTTTCAGCTTTTCATTGTACACAGAACAGAAAGGCCAAAAAACCTTTTTTTAAACTGTCAGATTTTTGTTGGTTCAAGCCAAAGTTAAAATAGTTATATCTATGAATCCGGTTGAATTTAAATGATAAAATTTTAGGGATGTTTATAATTTATTAAAATCTCTAAGTGATGTGAAAATCAGCAAAATCTGAGTCTTACAGTTGCATTTTATGAAAAAAATTGGATGTTTTAATATGTACTTGCTGTAAAAAATAACATCGTTAAAAAGAATTCTAAACTATACTTATTTCTTTTATAATAAAAATTCTATAAATGAATAAAAAAATTCTATAAGTGAATTTTACTTGGTGTTATATATAAAATAAGTCTTTGAATTTTAAAAGAAGTATTTATAAAAAAAAAAATTATTTATCAAATTTACAAATTTTATTGATAAAAAAAACAAAATATTGTTTTCAGATACAGTATCATTTTGCAGAGTTACCAAAGCAACAACACTTGGTAAAAATTTTTAATTTTTAATTTTATTAAAGCTATTTCTAGTTTTATTTTCATGTTTAAGGTTATGAATGGCTTTTATATATTATAGGTTATCAATGGCTGTTATATATACCTTTTTTTAGGTATCTTTTTTTTGTAGTAAACTTTATCATAAACTCTATCTATATAACAAATTATGTAGGCTCTTCGTGATTCCTTAATTGAACATCTTCAGCAGTATTCATTAGCATCACATGCAACATTAACTCAGGTAGCTTATCATTAAAAAAAGTTATTGTTTAGTGAATTTTTAATTATGTTGAATAAGCAATTTGTAAATCTTTTTTTTTTTTAATACAGTTATGTTTAGCATTAGCACATATGGCTTTGCAAAGTCCTCAGTGGGAAAATCCTGTTGCTGAACTTGTTCAAAAGTAAAAGTTTTTCTGTAACTAAAATAATTGTCCTAACATGAAATCAAGTTTTTATGGTTTTAAGTAAGGATAATGGAATCCCATCCTTGTTTGATTTATTTTTGATATTTAAAATCAAAACTGTTATTTATTAGTTGTTAACTTAAAAAACGGTTAAAAAACTTTTTTTATATCTTTTTTTTTCTTACTTTGCCAGGTCGATAAAAACTTTTCAATAAGTTTTTATCCACCTGGTAAAGTAAGTAAATTTTTTTATTAGAAAACTAAAGAGTTATCAAATTTATTTTGTAAAACTGTTTTTCAAAGTTCTACTCATATGTATAAAAACACATTTAAAAAGTTTCCACATGTAATTTTGATATATTAATTTGATACATTCTTAAACTTCATTAAGCTAAAAAATGCTTGCTCAACATCTCAGACAGTAAAAAACAGTGAAAATAACCCTACTAAAGTTGAAAAATACCTTTCAGAAGTAATTCCAAGTTAACCACCATAAGATTTGTCATAGAAATAGACAGTTATACAGTTATTTCCCAGTAAATTGAACAATGGTTAACTCAAACTTTTGTTATCTCAAACTGTTTCATTTGGTCCCTTAAAATTGTCTAATTAATTTTTATTAAAATTTTCTTGTTAATTCAAACCTCAGATTACTCAATCTTAGTTAAGTGAAGCCATTTTTTTTTTAATTATTTTTTGTCCACTTTTTAGGAATTTCTTAGGTTAGCTCAAACTTTTTGTATGGAAAATAAAGAAATCTAAATTACTTGGTTGAAATTTTTTTTTTAATTCATTTCGTATAAAACATAAGTAAATGAAAACTAATATTTTTTTTATTTTTTTTATTTTATTTAATTATTTTTTAGTTTGTATTTATAACTGAATAGAATAGATAGATGTAAAAAAATGCTATAATAAAACTGTTACAAAAGATGTTTCTTAATAAAAAATCACTAGCTTTTAGATGCAATTTTATTACCGAACAGGAAGTCATTGTATTGCTAAAACTAAACTTTTTTCAATGTTATCTTTAGAGAGTACAGCGTGAATACAATACATAACTTCTTTTACATTTTTATTTGTATAATGGTGTATATTTAATGTTAAAAAAATCACCTTACCTCGAACTAATATCAACCAAAGTTCAATAGGATTAGAGAAAAAAATATCTCTGCATATCTGTATTTAAAAAGAAAAGTTTCTTTTTTTTTTAATAGTTCTATCATAAGTTTGTATTACAATTATGTAATATTTATATTCACATTTTCAATAGTATGATTTTATACTATTACTATGGGCAAAAAGCTATAAACAAAACTATTGTTTAAGTATAAAATAACATATGTATTAAAGTCAACAAGTTGTTAGCCATTTGTATAGTTAAAATATTATCTCAAGCACTACAAAAAAATCAGTGACTGTTATGCAAAAAATAAAAAATAAACATTTGCATTTTGTAAGCAAAAAAAGTCTAAAATACTTCTAATTATACTATACAGTTGTTTTTTTTAGTTAAATGTTTTTGTTTTTTACTTTATTCAGGTTTTCAACGAAGTTAGAGCATTTCTCGATTTTGCTCGAAATTCTTATGATTATGCCTGAAGAGGTAAAGTATTTGAAGTTATATATAAAATATTTGTATAAATAGTATAAAGTCTATATATTAAAGTAAGTATATTAAAATTAAAAAAAAATAGCATAAAATTATAGCATATTTAGTAAATAAATTGTAAATATATTTAAAAATTAATTTATAGATAAAATACTTTATAGTTTAATAATCTTTTATAATTCTGCAAAATATACCAATTTTTTAGATTGAGAATGAAAATCTTCGTATTGGAGCAAACAGAAGAAACGAAATACTTGATTCGCTGAGAGGTTCAGCTGATCAGGTCTTTGAATTACTGGTATGTTTTGAAAAAGTTATAAATAAAGTTTGTTTCCCAATTATTTTTAGATTTATTATCTTTATACTTCTACTCGCTTAGTTCTTTTTTAAATGTTTTTTGTTAGATTTATGAAGTTATTTAGTGTTTATATATATATATATATATATATATATATATATATATATATATATATATATATATATATATATATATATATATATATATATATATATATATATATATATATATGTATATATCCTTATAGTGTAGTCAAAAGAGTCGTTTAATGTAAAAAAAGTCTCTTTCGACTACAATTTTAATTACCTCGTCTCTTAAGCTGTTTTTGATTGTCATCGAAATGTCAAAGCAATTAATTTATGCGAAAGTACATTAAATTTAATTGTTTTTTAAAAAATTTTTAAAAAACCGCAATTATAACGACTAGAAAGTTTTTTTTAATTAGTGGTGTTTTTGTTATTGATTTAATAAAAAACATTTTTAAAACATGCGTAAATGTTGCTACATCGACTATCTTATAGCCTGACTCGCAACGGAGTGCTCCTACATCGACTGACAAATAGCCTGACTCGCAACGGAGTGCTGCTACATCGACTGACAAATAGCCTGACTCGCAACGGAGTGCTGCTACATCGACTGACAAATAGCCTGACTCGCAAGGGAATGCTGCTACATCGACTGACAAATAGCCTGACTCGCAAGGGAGTGCTGCTACAACGACTGACAAATAGCATGACTTGCAAGAGAGTGCTGCTACATCGACTAAGGGTTTGGTTTGGCCAGGCAGTCTATCAATTAAAAAAAAATAATTAATTTTTAAAACTTTTTCTGGTCTGGTTTATTAACGCGCTCTTTAAAACTACAGTTTATGGAAAACTTTTTTTGATGCCATGCAAGAGACATATATATTTTTTTTTAGTTTAGTACTATTTAATAGTTATCTAAAAATGTAACAGCTGAATGAACTTAAGATCTTTATACTTTTATATTAAATCAACATTTATAGGTGTTTTAAAAGAAAATTTTATTTTAGTCAAAGTGTCAAGAATTATGTCCAGCTGATGATAGAACACAGTGTAAGGTGTGCATTTTAAATTTGTTACTTTAGTTTTATCTGCTCGATATTATTATTATTATTTAATTTTTTTTTTTTTAAGGTTTACCTATCTTTAGTGTTTATTTTTTTTGTTTATTTATTATTTGTTTTCTGAGCTAATATAGTAAAACCAAATCAAACCATTCTATTGGATCATATTGAACCATTCTATTCGATCATATTGAACCATTCTATTGGATTAAATTGAACCATTCTATTGGATCAAATCAAACCATTCTATTGGATCAAATAGTTCCATTTAGTTTTTTTTTTACTCTAATTATATTAAAAAAAAATTTTCACTTTTAATATGATTTTTGGAAGCCAAATCATGTTTTTTAATAAACTTTCACATTTTAAAACTGTTAAAGAAGTTTAAGATAAGAGCTATGTCAGGTGTTTCGGATGAGCTATGTTTCAGGTGATTGTTTGGAAAATACAGCATCATTTAATTGCAACAAAAAGAGCTACATTTTGTTCTAGAATTTTAATTTTATTAATCTAATCAATCCCAAACCATGTAAAACCCTCCACCATGCTAACATATAACATTGTTTCTTTGTTAACAATAACTTTTTTTTTTAATAACCAAATATTAAGAACTTCAATTTTTTTTCTTAAAATTTTACTTTGAAAAAATATATATACTTAAAGGTTTTTGTCTATTTAAAGTAAGCAAGGACCCATTACAGTCTTTTTTTTTTTTTTTTTTTTTTTTACTGAGGTTGAAGTAGTGACATTTGTAATTTGACCCAACTTAAAAAGTTCTTGAAATAATCAAATTTATATCCATATATATATATATATATATATATATATATATATATATATATATATATATATATATATATATATATATATATATATATATATATATATATATATATATATATATATATATATATATATATATATATATATATATATATATATATAAATAGTGTCCCAAAATGGTTGACCCCATTTTGTAGCCCAATAATTTTGGCAAATTTTGTTGGAATAACCTCAAATTTTCACAACTTTTGTAGAAACATTTCAAGTACATGTGTGTAATGTTTGGCGTTTCTATCTTTTCAAGTTGGAAATGCCGCTCATTTTGAAGGAAAAGGCATTTTGTGTGTTAAAATATGCTTTGACTCAGTCACCAAAGATTGCAGCATTAAGTGCAGCGTGCCTTCTTTACAAAACACATTAACTTTTGGTTTAACCAAAAGTTAATGTATTTTGTGCAATATCCAAGAAAAAAGTTTATGGGCCATTTTTCTTAGAAAGAAATGTGAACAGAGATGTTTATCTTCAAATGCTTCAAAATTGGCTAATTGATCAACTCATAGAAAATGAAGATGAAAGTTTCATTTTTCAGCAGGATGGGGCTTTACCTCACTGGAAGCTCACTGTACGAGCCTACCTTAATGAGGTTCTGTCAAAGAAATGGAATGGTCGAGGTACTGAAAAAGACGATTTACTTCTAAAATGGCTACCAGGATCACCTGACCTTTTTCCGTGTAACTTTTCTTTGGGGTTATGTGAAAGGACTAGTCTTCATACCTCCTATTCCAGCTAAAATTGAAAAACTGAAACAGAAAATTACAGCTGCACTGGAAACTGTTACCGAAGACATGCTACAGTAAGTTTGGCACGAGCTCGAATACCTATTCGACGTTTGCAAGTCACTGGTGGCGCTCATATTGAATATTTATAAATATCTGTCATTGAAGCAACAAATACTATACTTTTAAATACTTGTACTTTTCTTTGTAAATTTAACCAATAAAACTTATGACCTTCAATATTAAGTGTGTTTGGTTTCATTAAGATTCATCAAGTAAGTACTCCGAAATATTTAGAATGGGATCAACCATTTCAGAACACCCTGTATATTTTATATATATATATATATATATATTATATATATATATATATATATATATATATATATATATATATATATATATATGTAGCATTTCTAGGCTAAGACTATATATATATATATATATATATATATATATATATATATATATATATATATGTAGCATTTCTAGGCTAAGACTATATATATATATATATATATATATATATATATATATATATATATATATATATATATATATATATGTAGCATTTCTAGGCTAAGACTATATATATATATATATATATATATATATATATATATATATATATATATATATATATATATATATATATATATATATAAATATATATATATATATATATATATATATATATATATATATATATATATATATATATATATATATATATATATGTAGCATTTCTAGGCTAAGACTTAGCTTTATGACTTTCACTTTATAGTATATATATTTTCAGATTGTGTTGCAATTAAAATGTACTATCAAAATATCTAGTCAATAGAAACAAGCTTCTCTAATTTCTATAAAACCAATTAATATATTACATAATATATTACTGCATTTGTTTTTTTGTTTTTAATATAGTTTATATTATAATTGTTAAATTAATATGCTAGATTTTTTATAAATATAGTTATTTCAATGTTTTGGAAGCTGGTTAACACTTGGTTCATTCCCTCCTGATAAAGTTGCTAAAAGCAGTTTATTAAAGCTTGGTTTCAATTTGCTGGTAATTTTAAATTAATTAGATATAAACAGTTTATTCGGTATTTACTATTTTTTCTAAATTATTTAGGTTTACTTTTAAAATACTTTTTACTACTTATAATTTTTTTTTTTTAGCTTAATGAATCAATTATTACTTATTATTTAGCTTAATGAGTCAATTAGTCAGAACCTTCATGGAGCAATTACAGATTGTGTATGTAATGCTTTATATATTAGTGGGGTAAGTTATGCTTTTTTTTAATTTTTACTTATTTTTGATAAAATTAAACATTTAGCTTTGTATGAATGTTATGTTGACCTCTCTGTTTATAATTAATTTTATAACTGCATTTATACCATGACTACCTTTTTTAATTGAGCAAGTCTGCTATGTCTCATTGTCCCAAATAAAAACCCATATTAATATTAATAATTGAAAAATTGACTTCAGAAACAAAACAAAAATACATTCATTTTTAGTTAAAATTTAAATTTATAAATATTTTTTATAAACGATAGCAAGCATAAAATTTCAATTTATACTTTTTATGTTGTTACAAGCTTCTCTAAACCCTGTTACTAAAATGCAAATTTCTCAAGCAACTTTTTGTCTCTCAGTTATGAAGCAAGCACTGTACCAATAAATAACTACAGGATTATTATAATATCTACATCTTGTTACTTCTTGCATTGCCACCTTTAATTTTTACTTTTACTTGCCACCTTTTACCACCACCTTGCCACCTTTAATCTTTTAACCTTTTTAGCTGTTATCAACTTGGTCTATGTTAGAATAAAATTCTTTTTTTTTTTTTTTTTTGTATTTTTAATGTTAAAACTATATTATATATTAATAAACTATTTTGTATATTTATATTTATTTTATAAATTTTTATACTAAATCTTGTTATCAGTTTTACTTAAGTAATTCTGTTAAGTTGTTTTGTATATTTTTATTTCTGAAGGATATTCAAAACCAGTCTCCGCTTTCAGAAGCCTGCTTTAATTTTGTGTCTACAAGTTTACCATCTGCATTCAAATTGGCTGTCAAAAATGATGACTTAGATCGGTATTTTAAACAAGCAATTTTCTGCTAAAAATTTGTTTATCATATTAATATGGTCATAGTTTTTTGGTGTATATATAGTATTGTATCATGTTGACATAAAGTGATAGTAAGAAAAAATGATTGAATAGCAAGTATGTTGCTATATTGATAAGTGTTTATAAAGTAAAACTAATTATGGTTGGGCTGGGGCTTATTATAGAATAATATCTTACAAAAGATCTAGCATCTACCTATTTCATTTCTGTCTAATGCAAGTTTAAAAAGCGTTTTTTTTTTTTTCTTTTTCTGTTGTATAATTTTTTGTATTTAATTAAAACTTTTCATTAACGAAAAATAAAGTTTAGAAAAAGTTTAAATACAAATAAAGAGGAGTATGACTTCAAATTGAAACAGAAATGATTTAGTTATAAATATAACTAAATCAATTTCAACTAAATCATATAAATTCTCTACATTTTATTTCCAAATTTTATTATATACTAAACATGTTTTTTATTTATATAATATACTCATTGTACTCCTTTGGTAGGCATCATACTTCTTACAGCTGACATAGTATTACTTACATCTGACATTTTACTTATAACAACTGACATTTCACTTTTATTAGCTGACATTGTACTCTTTATAGTTGACATTGTACTCCTCACAGCTGGCATTGTACTCCTCACAGCTGACATTGCAATGCCTACAGCTATTTATTAATAGCTATTAACTTTTCTGTAATTTTTATGTTATGGTAATTTGTTCATTGATAGCTGATAAATGTTTCCAAATCATCTCTTACATTTAGGCAGATTATTATAACCTTTATTGAATTTTGGTTGTAAAAAATATTTTTTTCCTAGTTTTTTCTTTCCTTATAAAACAAGAACTTTTCTTTTTATTCACACAATTTTTAAAAAGAAATTGTCTTATGTTTTCCCCAATTAGGTTCTTATCAAGAAGACTGCATAGAAGTTTTACATTTTTTCTGCACATCAACAATTTCAGCATTTTTTCTCTTTTAATGGAACACTTTTTTTTCTCTTTTAGACAGGACTTTTTCTTTTTATAGATTTTCAGAAAGATTGATTGAAAATTTAAAAATTAATTTTGTTTACCTTTTTTTTTTTTTTTTCACATTTATTTTTTTAAAGGTTTTCAGCATTTGAATCACAGTTTTTCTTGTAGTAATTCTAAAATATCTCCCTTAATAATCTGCATAGATGTTCATTGTAAGCATTTGCTTGCAACACTTGAAATAAATTTTTTATGGAAAAAATTAATCAAAGTTCAAATTTTAACCAAACTAAATAAAGCTTACTAGTAATTGACAAACACTATTATTTTTAATACAATAAAACTGAATATTAGAACTTACATAAGAAAAATGATAAAGTTTAAATTCTTTGTGTGATAATGATGTTAAAGATATGTCTTTAAGGCTTATTGCATAATAATTTCTTGTACTTTACCATGGAGTAAAAATTATCAAATGATGTTCAGAAATAAGTTTTTTACAGTTGAAAATTTGGATTTTCTTTGACATTTTATATAATTTTTTGTATTATTGTTTTGTTTGTTAAATCTCAATTATTTTTTGTCTTTTTTTTAGATCTATAAACTATGCAAGAATATTTGCTGAAATGGGTGAAGCTTTTATGGAACCCATACTGACAAATCCTGGAAATGTATTTCCAATCTCTTTTCTAATTTTCTGCATTTTTTAAATTAAAAGATGTCAATATTTTATGATTGTTTTCTTTTCTCAAAAATTAATGTTGCTTTTTGTTTATTTTGTTCAAGGGGGCTGGCAGCTTGCAAACATTGGACCTGGTTTTGTCACTTGCAGAGCATCCAAATTATGAGGTCGATTTACAATTGTTATATTTGTTTTTGTTGAGTTTTATATTATTTTACATACCTAATTTTGCCATTTCACTTGTTTTATAATTGAGCAAATATTTTAGGTTTCAGAAATATCTTTCAATTTTTGGTATCGCTTTTCAGAGTGTATTTCTGATAACACGCCACAAGAAATGTATGGAATCTTTAAACCTTATATAACCAAATTAATATTTTTGTTGTGCCAACGTGCTGAGTTTGAAGAATCCCATGTAGGTTTAACACTTTTCAAACAATTTTTATTTTGTTATAACAATGCTGTTTTTTGTTGTGATAAATTTTTTAAAGTGTATTTAGACTAATTACTGTTTTGTACCCAGTCCACCATTGTTGTGCTGTGCAAATGTGGTGGGCTGTGTTGTTTGCATGAATAACTTTAGAATGGCTTTTACAACAATTTCTTACGTGTTTTGATGTCAAATTATAAACAAATATTAGCACAAACTTGTGTAAATGCTACCATATTTGTTTTTTGATATATTTGAAAAGTAATACCAGTATTTTTGCTGTGATTTCCACTGATTATTTTCAGCTACTTATTATTGAAGTTATAAATTTTCAAGTTATTAAGGTGCAAAGTTTATCTAAATATAAAATTTAACTAAATATTTATGTTAACAACTTATATTTTATTGTCATTTTGCAATGAGAAAGGAAAGTATAACAAATAATACAAGTTGTAATTTCATATAAGAATTATTATTATTATTTTTTAATGTATTAAAACTAAATTTTAAATTAGAATGATGCCATTTGATGCCATTTTCCTGCAGACAGGAAATTCTGGAGAACACTTTTGTAAGACTATGACTCTAGGGTGTGTCAATATCAGACTTTTTTTAAAAAATTGGTTTAGTATAATTTGGGATATAAGTAAAAGTTGTAAAATTTTATGCAGAATCAAAATCTGATATAATTTTTTAAATCAGAAAAATGTTAACTTATGTGATTAGCTTTTTTTACGGCAGTATAAATGATTTTTGTTTTCTTTTAAATGAAATAATGACGTTTGCGAACAATATAGTCCATAAAATAAATAGACTTTTAAACAACAAAACAAAATTTCATCAAGTTTATAAAAAAATTATTTAACTTAATTTGAGTAAAATTTTTAAACAAATGCATAAAATAACATTTAATTTTTCAAAAAGATTTACTAAAACATTTTTTATCTTAATGATGGATTGTCTGTAAATTATTTTCTTATTGCCGCAATAAGTAAACAACTGTTAACTGTATATTGATAAGTATAATTTTAAGAACTTTTAATTGATTACTTTCATTCTTATAATATTAAAAGAAAAAAAAAATTATTTCTAAACAATAAAAAAATTTTCTTTAAACATTTTATAAACTAGTAAACAAGACTTCAGTAATAGCTTGTCTAAGAAAAAAAGGAGCTAAACAAATAGACTTTTAAGAAAAACTTCATAATCTTTTTGATATACTAGTATGCAAATGTCCTATTGTAAAATTTGATGATTTTATTTGTTGTGATGATTGTGACAAAAAAGTTCATTATAAATGCAAATGTAAGAGTAAAAAATACCATCTATTGATGTCAAGTTTATATATTTTTTAAGAGTTAAAACTGGAACTGTTAGCAAGCTTTAAATTGGATTACCTGATAACATTGAAACCAGGAAACAGTTCAAAAAATTACTTAGAAAAGATCGAGAAAAATGCTTTGAGAATTACAACAATGTTATTTTAATTTAAAAAAAAATTGTCAAAAAAAATTGTCAAAAAAAATTGAGTCGGATGAGATTAACTATCAAAAAGAAAACAAAAAAATATTTAACATGCAGATATTATAGCAAATAAAATTTTTGAATGACTGAGAGAGGTATTAACAAATTTTTACTGGCTGTTGATGGAAACTCTACAAATGTAAACACTGGTTGAGAGGGTGGAATCATCAAACATATAGAAATAAAATCAGGAAAAAATTTAGCTTATATGTCAACTCCATACAAATGAGTTACCACTGAAGCATCTTATAACTAACTTAGATGGTCAAACAAAATCTAACAATAAATGGTCTGGTGTTATTGGGTTCACACTTGATCTGGTTACAGATCTAGATATAAATCCAGTAATTAAAACTATTAAAATTGGCAATCCACTTATTTCTCTAAATGGTAAAATAATAAGTGGCTTGTCTGCAGATCAGTTTTATGGTTATAAAGTTGTTTGTGCCGTTAGAAGTGGTACTTTACTTCTAAAATTTCGAATATTACACATGTTTCACATTAAAGATGGTTAACTACTGCTAACAGAATATGTAGAATATGGGTTTCTAAACATTGAATTCAAGGTAAAGGTTTAGAAAGTCTATCATCGAGTTCATTGTGGGTGTTTATTTTCTTTGTTGAATTAAGATCAAAGTTAAACATTTTTGGATTGAAGGTCCTAAACATATACGTTACCATCTGCATCAACTTAAATTTCAAAAAGAAAATGTCATTAAAATAGTATCACCCTCTATTCAAAGATCAGCTTGGTTTTTTTTCAGTGAGTGTATATTACAAACATTGTTGTGTTGTAATACTGAAAAGGATAGAAGCGTAGCTAATAATAAGATGAAAGATAATAGAGGTACAGGAAATAAAGATCTACAAAAAGTTGGTTCTTCTCCTAGACCAAGAAAAATTCCTATTCTGAATTTTAATGCTGAAAAATTGGTAGACCTGATATTATGGGAGTCACCGGTTTATGAACCAGTCTTAACTACCTCTCCAAACAACTTCTGCAATCAATGTGTTGTTATCAAATTCTATGCAGGTGCTGATTTGACCTTGTCATGGACAATCTGTTGAATGTTGTGTACAACAAGTTACAGAAGCTTTAAGTAGAGTGTACACTCATGAAAAAAGAGAAGGATTTTTCCGAACTCAAGAGGCTTGTAGAAACTTAATGCCTAAAAATAATAGTGAACAAGACTTTGAAAGTTTTTAATACAAATGTTTTTGTATTAAATTTATAATATTTATTAAAACAATTTGGTTTTGAAAAAAAATGTCTTGCTGTATTTCTATCATCTGTATCAATAAAATTATTATGCGATGTATTTAAAATACTTTGAAAAATATTTTAATATCTATAAATTAATCTCAATCACCAAAATTTTAGTTTTAAATTAACATACATATTAAAATTTAAATTCAAAGTCTAGTTTTAAAATAAGAATTTTTCTGATAAATTTTATACAAGTTCTTAAAGGGATTCCCAACTGCCAAGACAAGTTGTGCTCATATTAAAGAAAATGTTTAAAAAAAATATTTGGGCTAAATTTTTTTGATTGAAACTAAATAACCAATGCATACCAACAAAATTAAAATTAGCATTTTAGTCGAAGCTCACCTTCTCCATTTTTTTTTGGTTCTCAGGGTCTGTATAATGTTCGCCGCAATCTGCAGACTTGATAATTTATTCAATGCGTGTTAATTCATAACAGTTTCAGTATATGACATCATCATAATATCTTTTTAAGATAGCGTTTTTTTTGTTGTTGTTTTTTTAAAGATAAAAGTTTTTCTTACTACAATCAGAAAATTGAATATTTGTATAGATTTTGTAAAAAAATATACAAATATATATATATATATATATATTTTATATATATATATATATATATATATATATATATATATATATATATATATATATATATATATATATATATATATATATATATATATATATATATATATATATATATATATATAACAATAAAATATATATATATATATATATTTTATTATTGTTTTATATTTATTATTTATTTATGTTGTAGAAGCCAGCCAAAATCATGACACAATTATACATATGTTGTGATTATTAGAGTTGTCAGGCAGAGAAAAAATAAAGGCAGTATGATGCGGTTTTTCGTTTTATATTTAGTTTATATGGTTCAATAGAGTTGTTCGTTTTATGTTTAATTTACATTTAGTTATGGTTTAACTCTTTCACTACCGCAAGCCACTGGTAGCGGCTTTCGAGTATGCTTTACAATTTATCTTGTTTAGTACATAAATTTCCATTCTAGACACATAGAATTTGTTTGTTTTGAAGGTTTAATTAATTCTCTACATAATCAAGAAAAAATAAGAGCTGTTATTGTGTAATTATAAAAATAATATCACAAAGTTAAAAAATCTTGAATAATCCTTCATAAAAAAAACTTTAAATTTAAAATAAAACAGCGTTAAACACTGTAAAATTAACTTGTAGAAGTGTTAAGTTTTTAGTTAAGTAATTACCAAAGTATTTTGAAGAAAAAATATTATTTTTATTTATTAAATGAGGTTTGTTTTGGACTTAATGTTTTAGTTATTACTTACAAAAACGATAGTTTTAAGCACTTTGCATTTCTTATTGTTTAATGAAGCGCGTTGAAAACTTTATTATTATCAAATTTTAATTAATTGTCAATGTTATGCTATTCAAAGGTTATTCAAAAAAATGTGTGGTTGCTACAAAAAGATTTTTGTTAAAAGATTTTTGTTCGGCTGGTACCGAACAATTTAATGCAATTCTTTGTTTTTATATTTATATTATAACTATTTCTTGTATATTTTAGTACAAATATTTGTTTTAACTTTAATTTAGTTTGATTTGAACGGTTATTAGTTAAATAAGTCATTTAATATTTATTTTCTACTTTGTTCAGTTTATATGTCACGGCTGTTTCAGAGTGAGCTTTACGGCTTCTTGTATTTTTTTTGGAAAATATTGACTTAGGGGGTGTTACTAAAACATTTATAACTTTTGAAATATTAGAGATAATTTTGTTTTGTAAAAGGAATAAAAACAACAATAAAATGTTTTATCATACGACATTTAATACAATAGTAAAAAAATTTCTTTTATTTAATAAAAAACGCAACAAATGATGAACTTGGATAAATTTTAGTAATTTGTTGTTACTTTTTATCAAAAAAAAAATCAGAAAAATATATTTCTGATAATTATAATCACATACACTCGTTGTTTAACTATTATCAAAATAAAAAAAACCTTATTTAATTGTTAAAGGTTAACTAAAACAGTCTTTATTGAGGTCTGCAAGCAAACCGCATTTTTTGCAAAATTATGAAAGATGTCGCTTAAAGGAGGATTAACTTTTAATTGAGTACGTTTTTAAATATGAAAATAATTCACTAAGTTGATAAATTCAATGCATTACAAAATAAAGGCTAATTTTGAAATA